CACTGATTAATATATCATCCAAGAAACATATACAACCTTCCATATCTTGAAGTGAAGATTCCATTATTTTCTGAAACTTCGAGGGAGCACAAGCTACTCCGAATGGTAAACGTTGGTATTGAAAAAGGCCTTTATGTGTTGAAATGGTGACGAACTCTTTGGAACTCTCGTCTAAACAAATCTGATTGTATGCCTGAGATAAATCAATCTTGGTAAAAATCACACCACCCTGTAATTTGGAAAAAAGATCCTCAATTCTTGGCAAAGGATACTGATCAATTTCCAGTAGAGGATTTATTGTGATTTTGAAATCACCACAGATTCTCACTTTACCATTTTTTTTTTAAAACAGGAACAATTGGTGAAGCCCAAGGTGAATAATCAACTGGTTTAATAATATTTGATTTCACTAAATTGTCTAATTCTTCTTCCACCTTATCTCTGATGCCATAAGGAAGAGCTCTCGCTCGAAAAAATTTTGGTGTTGAATCGTTATCTTTTAATTTCAATTTAATGACTCCTTTGTTAAATGTACCCAATTCAGGTGAAAATACTTCTGCATACTTATGAAATAATTTATTCATCATGGCCTCCTTGTCAGTGAGATAATGAATAGAGTGAATGGTCAAATTATACAACTCCATAAAATCCCTACCCAGAATAGGAGGTCCACCATTCCTGATAATATAAATATTGAGTGAATTCACAATATTATTATATGAAATCAGAAATCTTACATATCCGAGAGTTTGCATAATACTACCATCATAAACATTTAACTTTTTCGTGCTTGGGAAAATTATATAGTTTTTAAAGTATTGTTTCCAAAAATTTTCTGAAATGACAGATATGCTAGCTCCCGAATCAAGCTGAAACTTATAAAACCTGTTCTCAATACTGACATCGATAATATATGGACTGTTAATTAAATTCCCATCCTTCAAGGTGAATAGCTGCTCTGAATCAAAACTGGATTCGATGTAATTCTGCACCAAATTACCTCTTGAAGAATGTCCTCCACTGCTTTCATTCTTCTTAGGACACATTGGGGCCATATGACCCTTAGCTTTGCAGATGTGACAGAAATAGTTACGCAAACGACAGTTTTCTACAGCATGATTATTACGACCACAGCAAGAACATTTTGGTTTGCCAGGAGACACTGCTTCCTTGTTTCCACTCGACCTAATCTGCTTCCTTGCTGAGAAATGATGAACTGGTTCCATCTTCACTACTGACGGATCTCCCCTGTATTCATCAGAAGCTGCCATTTCTGACACTGCCAATTCGATGACATCCGAAAATGAACTTGTCAGCTTTTCCTTGAACAATCTAGCTTGAACTGGACCTTTCTCGAAACCGATTATAAATCGATCCCGCAACATCATATCAATAACGTTTTCTCCGAATTCACAGCTGACAGCGAAGCTTCTAACCCTTGCAGCCCATTCACTAGCACTTTCCATAGAATTTTTGAAAGCACCAAAAAATTTTGCTCTTGCTACGAAAGATGACTCACCAGACTTGAAATACTTATTGAACGTTTCGAGTATTTCGATAAAAGGCTTTTCCTCGGGAGTCCTTGGAATAGACAAATTGTAGATGAGCCTATAAGCTTTTTCGTCGAGTGCATTCAGTAGTATCGCTCGCTTTTTCACCTCATCCTGGATCTCATTTACTAGGAAGTAATTGTCTAACCGTCTTCTGAAAACAACCCAGTCGCAATCTTCTAAACTGAATTCTCGAACATACCCATAATATGATGGGTTTTCTGCCATTTTGCGTGAGTTCTTAATATTCTCGTCGCCAATGAAAGATACGCAACATGCGAATATTATCTTTACTTTATTCCATTTACAAATTATAATAAATTGTTATATATTTTCCATGACAACTCATTTTGTCCATTTCCACGACGTTCGCCTCCTATACAATACAGTACACTAATGAAGTGAAGAAATATCTGATAAAGAAAAATTTGCAATAGCTATCTCAGAAATTGATTATGAAAATTATCGATTCGAAATTCGAACACCCTGTTGTTCATTATTTGAAAATCTAATAGTTATTCTAGTTAAAATAGCCCTATTCCATACTTCTACCTACGACTATGAACGGTTTGACAAATAATTTAACAATCTAACCCTCAAAATTGTTTCTGACAATCATGGGTTGCGTGCAAGAACTGTCAGATGACCGACCCTGGAAGCACAACATTGAAACACAACTTCACTTTTCTTATTTGTTTACAAGTGATTGAAATAGTTTTTCACAAATATTTTGGCATAAGAATTGTATTTTTTGTCTATTCATTAATTCGCTCATGCCATCACATTGTGCTGGTACAATGCACAAAAGCTGCAGCAGAAGACTAAGGAATCCTGTTGGTACGTCATGTTTTAAAAGTAAAAGTACCTACTATAGTCACTCACATATAGTTTTCATTTTTGAAATTTGGTAATTTATCTGATTTCTCATCCGAATTCCTTCTGCAATAGGAGCTAATAGAAATACACATGAAATTTCTAAAATAATGGAAGAAGATTGGATTCATGCAATCAAACGGGAGGACTGGTCTGACATGCTGATGAAATATGATCATGTGTGTGTTGTAGACATTTTTAATCTATTAGCAGTATTAGCTTGTATTGCAGATGTGGCAGGAGGAATATTAATGAACAACCTCAATCTTCTGTGAATTATTGAAACACAACCTCACTTTTTTATTTGGTTACAGAGGAATCAAAGAATTAAAATACTTTTCCACAATATTATAGCAAACAAATCGTGGTTTTTGCACTATTCACTAATTCAAGCATGCCTTCGCATTGTGCTGTTGTACAATGAACAAAAAATGCAGCAAGAGACGAAGGAATATGATTTTTCAGGTAAATAGTAATCTCACATAGTTTTCATTATGAAATGTCATTCCTCATTGAAATTCCTTCTGCAAGCTAATACTGCTAATAGATTGAAAATGTCTACAACACACATGATCTTATTTTGTCAGCATGTCAGACCAGTCCTCCTGTTTGATTGCATGAATCCAATCATCTTGCATTATTTTAGAAATTTTACGAAGTATCAACTATTTGCTCCTATTGCAGAAGGAATTCCCATGAGAATTCAGAGGAATTAGCAAATTTCGAGAATGAAAACTATATGTGAGTGACTATAGTAGGTACTTACTTTTAAATCATACTGTACCAACCGGATTCCTTCGTCTTCCACTGCAGTTTTTGTGCATTGTAGAACAGCGCACAATGTGATGGCATGAAAGAATTAATTAATTCGCTCATGCTCATGCTATTCATTAATGAATAGCCGAAAAATACGATTCCTATGCCAAAATAATTGTGAAAAACTATTTCAATCACTTGTGAATAAATAAGAAAAGTGAGGTTGTGTTTCAATGTTATACCTCCAGAGTCGGTCATCTGACAGTTCTTGCATGCAACCCATTCAATTCTCATTCAATCATCAATGCATTTTTTGAAAACAGAAAGGGACAGAAGATGGACAGAAGTACAGGGTGTTATTTAAGTACGTGGCCAAACTTGAAAGGGTGATTCTTTGAGTGATTCTAAGACGAAAAGTTCATGTGAACATAAGTCCGGTAATGCTTCGTTTTCAAGATACAGGGTGTCACAATTTTTAAAAGAAATCGTTTTTTTCGTAAATATCTTAATAACCCTTCAATCGATTTAATTGAAATTTGGCAGTGTTATTCAAGGTCGTGAAAGGCTAATTCAACCCTAACTATATCAAAATTATCATGTCCAGTGGCGTCCCGGAAGGCACTGTAACCAATATTTTTGACAGAAAAAATGTGCGCCACTGATTTTTTTGCAATTTTTGTATTTGTTTCACATCGAGCAACTAAAATTACCACTTTTTTATATCTAAAATTTTTTTCGTATCTTGCTTTGTTTTTGAGAAAAAACATGAAAATCACTTCATTGCACATCCCTGTGACGAGCCGAAGCCAAGAGCCGAAGGCAAGTGCTGCAATTCATACATACATATTTTTTGTTTTCTCATTGCATAAATTTTGATAGAAAATTCCAAGACTAGAATAGAGTATTGATATGAAAAAATATTAGTGAGACCCCAGTTTTTGATGGTTTAGTAGTTGAAATGTTTTATTGTGTTGTCACAGGGATGTGCAATGAAGTGATTTTTATGTTTTTTCTCAAAAACAAAGCAAAATACGAAAAAAAATTCTAGATATAAAAAAGTTGCAATTTTAGTTGCTCAATGTGAAACAAATACAAAAATTGCAAAAAAATCAGTGGCGCACATTTTTTCTGTCAAAAATATTGGTTACAGTGCCTTCCGGGACGCCACTGGACATGATAATTTTGATATAGTTAGGGTTAAATTAGCCCTTTACGACCTTGAATAACACTGACAAATTTCAATAAAATCGGTTGAAGGGTTATTAAGATATTTACGAAAAAAACGATTTCTTTTAAACATTTTGACACCCTGTATCTTGAAAACGAAGCATTACCGGACCTATGTTTATATGAGCTTTTCGTCTTAGAATCACTCAAAGAATCACCCCTTCAAGTTTGGCCACGTACTTAAATAACACCCTGTATAGCTGTGTCCGGACTCTTGTCTAAGGTATATACAGGGACTCTAGGTATGCCCAGACCTCAACTTTGATTTATAAGGATCAGAATCATCTGTCATCTGACAAAATATCAATTGTGAAAATACACCTTATGATACCAACAATCAATATAACATTCACTCACCAAAAAGGAATAATGAATTCCAACTATTTCCTACTATTTGCTGTTGAGTGGTTTTAGGAAAGCAATAGAATATATTCTTCACGCGGCGAGAAATATGAAACTGTCCATTCTAACTATGTCCAAAATTACCCAGGTCTCTCCTACCTACCAACTGATCAGAAGAATACCAAGAATAATACTGTTACATCCAACACCCTACAAATTTTTGGAGTTGAATACCTCAATATAAACACCTACCTTTCAATTTTCCCAGAACTCGTTGAACTGCACCAGAACAACCATCACAGGTCATTGAAACTTTGAATTCATGCAATTTAACCTACAAACGAACTGTATTATTACCTTATGGACTTTTGGATCATATATTCATACTTACAGAAGACATGTCTCTTTCTATGGCCTTTCAACGAAGGAAAATGAGTTTTATTTTCAAGACTACTATAAAACTTTTCGTTGATGTGAGATATCCTGAGCCTGAGATCGTGAGATGTGATCACGATCACGATGTGATGGTGATGTGACCATATGCCAGATGCCACTTGTGTCAGATCGTCAGATCAGTTGTTTCCATTGAATTGCTGTCAAATTTTCTCATACCAGATTTTCTTGGAAAAAAGTAACAGATTTGAATCAAAAGGTGATAGATTGGAAAAGTCTGACATTTGACATTCTTGTCGAATTATGGCGCTTTCACATGCTGGCTTTTCGCCTCTTGGCTTATGGCGTATTGTAATTCGATTGGCCGATTCATGTGAAGCGCGTATCAAGGTCATATGCCAAAAAGTCGATTACGATCCGACTTTTTGTCTAAAAGAAGCTCCGATTTTCAGGGTTTTACCTTTTCCGGTTAGTTGTTGTTGTTGTCAACTGTGGTGAGAAATGTCACATTTGAATATGGAAAATAGTGAGATATTATTTCTGTATAATTATCGGTCACCAATTAAGATTACTGAATTCTGTCAACTGGTTAGTATTGTTTCCTACTTTTTGATGTATTGTCTTTTATTTGATTTTGATTAGTTATTTATTGATTGAAGTTCAATGAAGTTACTTAAATATGTGAAAAACGTTATTCGAAACGGATATATTCCTTGATATTGTGATTTTCAAATTTGAAATCTGTCTCCTCAACTGTTGCTTCTGTCAGAAGTTCATGTGATCAGAGCGCTCGTTTTATTCAAGCTTACCGCGATAGGCGAAAGCTGTCATGTGAACTCGCCATAAGCCTGTAGACAGCTCCCGAACACTAGCCCCAAGCACTAGCCCAACATTTAGCTTATAGACTAGAGTCACTGGATGGTGGTGGAGCTTTGATTTGTCCGTACCCTGTTAAGATGACAAATACATCAGTTTGCAAACCCGCCTTAAACTGAACGCACCATTAGTTTAGAAAGGAAGGAATGGTTGGAACGTGGTTGGAACAGAGGTTCGGTCGACTAGAGTCTCGAGATCATACCCGTGTGTTCACCGAACACGCCCGATCGTTACCTAAGCGGTGGGGGACTGGGGATACGTAAACAGGCAGCTTCTCTCGTTATGAATATTGGCGCGTGCCAGAATTATTTTGGAGTCAAATTTGTCCATCTAATGGAAACACTCCTGTATTTTACGTATTTGTTGAGTTATTAGGATTCTGAAAGTGGGGACATCTTCAGTGATATATACACTGCTCATTGATTGTATCTTTCTTGCTGCTGTGAATAGAATACTTACGTAAGATGCGGGGGTGCTTTCATGTGAATTGAAACAAAATTTGATTTTTCAGAACTGAACATTTCTCAGGAACAATATGAATAGTTTTTTTTTTTAGTTAGTGAATTGGACGCACTGATTTCGAATTCGAAGCGATTCTCAACCTATCTTGCCTCCTAATATCATTTTCCGGAAATGTTGGTGGGTCCATGCATGACCCGAGCAGTGTATATTTCACTGAAGATTACCATCACTTTGGTCATAGTTGATATATATATATATATATATATATATATATATATATATATATATATATATATATATATATATATATATATATATATATATATATATATATATATATATATATATATATATATATATATATATATATATATATATATACATCCTGCTATCATTATTGCGTCCAAACATTGCCCTTTTACATTTATTACTGCGTCCTTCTATTTATTGCGTCCATATATGGACGCGATAATGTCATCAACGTTAAACTTCGAATAGAACTGCTTGAAAGACTAGTAACAAAATTATTTTGAAAGCCCATGCCTCCACCTACCGATAGATCTGAGATTGACTGGTCTATCTGTCCAAATATTCGAGATATGCGGAAAAGTCTACTAGCACATCGGACGCAATATTATGCGTAAATGAACAGAAAATATACATTGTAGTTCAGAAGACTTCCGCCAGAGCGGAATATACGAAAAATATACGAAATTCCAGTATTTCTATCTAGAGTATCTTATTGCGTCCTGATGTTTGGCAACATTGCATGGTTCATTTAATTTCATTTATAGTAAGAAATGGAAGTTTCAAGAGCACCGTGCGTCCCAACAAAGAGATGTGTTTGAATTTTTCTGATTTTCTGGAGGCTATGAGTTCTTGGGAATACTTGCAGTGTCATAGAATTCCAAAGCTTTGCCATTTTATAGACGAATGAGTTTTGTGTGAGTGTTGTCCGACTTATTTCAAGGTTGACAACGTGAGGATGTGCTGACTGGGCCTGTCGAGTTTGTGGCATTGCTAGTGATGGAATGATAGCAGCGATTTCTAAGGAACATTTGCCGTGGAAGTATCTATAAAGAAATGAAAGGTGGCCTACTTCCCTGTGGTGTTTCAGAGGAGTCAACGTATAAGTGAGTGTGGCATCACCCACCGGAAGGTTGACTCTTCTCTGGATGGATTCTAAGAGGATCAGCGTATGCTTGGGTTCTGAACCCCATAATGTGAAAACAGTAATCTGAAACTGGCCGAGTATGTGCTTTGTAGATCGTGAAAAGCTGTTGGGGTGTACAATAGATTTTCGGAATAAGAATCCCGAGTCATTGTGAAGCAGTTCACACGATGGATCAGACATGATTTTTGCGTATTGCTGGGAATGGTAGTACCAGACATAAGGCATACTGATGAGTTCTGGTTTTCTAGAGAAATTACAAGCTTGAGTTCTGATGGCGATGGATTCAACTGGGTTGTTGGTTTCCCAGGCTGTTTTTCAGCAAGATCGTCATTGGCAGGGTTGACTTGCCTTCGTCGTAAGTTCTCAGTTACCTGAAAAGAAGTGGATATTTCTAGAAGAGAATGCAGATTATGCAGTTTTATCGTCTGGAAAGCTTGGATAGAGCAAGTGGATCCTAGTGGAAAGCCGGAATTGATCGTCATTGACAGCGTTGACTTGCCTTCGTCGTAAATTCTCAGTTTCCTGGAAAAATATTGAAATTCTGAAAAAGAATGCAGATTATGGAGAGTTTAATCGTTTGCAAAGCTTGGATAGACCAAGTGGATCCTAGTGGAAAGCCAGAATTGACCGTCATTGACAGCGTTGACTTGCCTTCGTCGTAAGTTCTCATTAGTTTTCTGAAGAGAAATGGGAATTATAGAAGAGAATGCAGATTATGGAGAGTTTCATTGTCTGCAAAGCTTGGATAGGGCAAAAGTGGATCCTTGTTGGAAGCCGGAATTGATGACAATGTTATCAGACGATTCTTTATCCACCACCAAATGTAGCGATCTGCCTGAAAGAAAACTCGATGAAAGATGGCATAGCTGAGGTGGTTCGCCGTATGAGAATAGTTTGTGGAGGAGTCCTTGGAAGATGGGTTCCAATTCCAGGATTTAATTAATTTTTTAATGTTTTGCTCATTTTCCCCACTTATCTCTTTTCTCCTCTCAACATTTGTCAATCATTTGTATACTCTATATGACTCATATGTCACAATAGGTCATATTAAGGGCCTGACATGGGCCCACTCACGTTCAACCTCAACCTAACCTAACCTAACCTATATGCCTTTGCTCATAATGTCATAATATTTGTATGACATTGAATTCTGTTTTCTGTTTGAAATACATGTTGGCTGATTGCCTCATCAATTATTCGATATTCGCGTCAATAATTTGTGCTTCCAGTATGAAACAGGGCCCTTGTTGAAAAAGAACAATTTTCAAAAACGAATGTTTTTTCGAGAATTGCTGTGCCAATTTCTCATCATACCATTTCCGTGCATGATATTGAATTGAATATATAAGTCCATTAATGAGAACCCAGGTAGCCTCGTGGTGGAAGCGTCATTATACTAATCCGCGTTTGCTTGCTGGTGTACGTGGGTTCAATTCTCCGCTGCAGAAATGTGTCTGATGACCTAAGAATGTGTTTGGTCATCCCTTGCTCGCACGAGTCTCTCGAAGAATTCTAGGGATTGCTCGTGAGTGGCCAACCTAATGACGGGTAGAAAAATTCAGAACAATTTTTCAGAACCCGTTATCATTTCTTGATACATGGGCTCGTGACTATGGGCATCGGCGGGTATATCTAATTCAACTAGTTGAATTTATAGAACTATTTCAACTCCAGGTGAGTCTACAAAAAAATGTAATTCCTTCCATACCCATATTCATTTAATCGTACCTCAAATTGAGCTGAAGATGATCCCTTATACCGACCCGTGTCCCTCTGATCATCAAACAACCGAGTTAACAACGTTATTAAATGGTGTGGAGATGATTTTGATCTTTCCTTCCTTCCATTGATATATTATTCTGATTTCAATCAGTCAATCATCAAAAAACTTATTTGTTGTAATGATCTTGGGGAAAGGAGGTAATTGCAACCATGTAAGACCGCATTGCATCGGCACTCTTCCTAATGATGAAACCGAAAAATGTATTATGGAGTATCCTAGCAAATTACCACCAGTCGTCGAAGTGGTCCCAATGGCATAATGCTATATCAGGCCAAATATCTGATTGAAATAGTCAAAAAATCAGCCTCCAAAATTCATATAGGACGACAGCCATTTATTGAATGGTTCATTAGCTGAGAAGATGTCATCACCAGAAGGAGATATATGGACATGACCAATGTGCTTGTTGGTTCATTATCATCGTTAGAGATACCATCATTGGAGAGCTTTCTTCATGTTAAAACTTAAAAAACGATAAGATTTACACAAAATTCTTTAACACACAACATGTTTCGCTAACACAGTAGCTTCGTCAGGTGATATCCCTAACAACACAGGGATGTCCGAGGTACGTACCTTTTTTGTCCCGCGGTACAAGGACATGATTGGGGCATCCAGGGGATGTCGCGCAGTGGTTGTCCAGTGGACATCCCGCATGGTACATCCCTAGGTTATCCTATTCGTGTCCCTGGAGTATCTGATATCTATTCACATCAGAGTCATTGAATTTCATCGAAGTATAAAGTTGCATTTTTTTGAACCTGTTTATTTTTCTTCCGGAAAATAATCGTAATGAAAATGAAGAATAAAGTTTCAGAACTTCTTAAGAAATTACCATTTTTCGCAAACAGAAATCGTACATGCATAATGCCCCTCATTTTTAAACACCCAAGAATGATATAATAATAATACCCAAATCCTAACGAAGTTGTATTTATTCAGGTTTCTATTTTTCGCAAAC